TATAATAAGTGTGGGTGCATATAATATGAAAGAGGTGAATAACGGTTGAACAGACATGTAGCGCAAATACCAGTTTTTGTTTACATTTTGTTTTGATCAGAACGTTCACTATTGACTCCGTCCTAAAGGGGTTAATAAATATGTTTTTTGATTATTATGGAAAGTTATAATGTATGCCTTTTAGATTTTATAATGTACTTTCTGTTTTTTAATATGTGGTTTTTGCTTTACATATGGACTCTCCTATGAAGGACTTAATTGATTCGAACATGGTGATTTTACTGATATGTAAATAATGCATTGGACTTTAGCCAATCAATATTGGCAGATTGCGGACTTTAGTAAAGATACGCCCACAGGAGGTGGATTTAAAAGTGAAGTGTGGGCCCTGGCAAGGTAAACCTGAAGAAGCCGCCACTGCGGCAAAACGCGTCATCACGCTATTACTCCATCAAGTACGTAAACGGACACTATGCCCCGCTTCCCGGAAGATGCGAATGGTACCTGGATCCGATATTGTGGCCAGATTGTGGGAACTGGGAGGGAGCTTTGTGAGGAGTGATGGAGGAAGAGACGATCCACCAGCTAAGTTGTTTTAGGTTGTTTGAAATAAAGATTATATTTTATTACTTATTGGAGCTTAAAAGTTAGAGCAGATGCATCTGCTCTCCACGTGTGAGTGTGTATTTCTAGGCAGTGTATATACAATTATTATTACCCAGACAATATTATACGATATTTTCTCTTTTTCTTCCTTTTTTTCTCTCGTATGTACGTATGAATATGTATTACTTCTGTATAAGTGACCCAAAAAAAAGGAATTACTTTTAATATGTTAATGTTACTTTAATATGTCAGTGTGTGGTTTGCACTATGTTGGCACCTGGATTTAGCACACTGCACGTTATATTTATATGTTATCACTGTACACTAAGAATACTAGATAAGGGTAGAAGCTCAAGGAAGCAGGCTGAAGGGTCAGTGTATGACCCGCATTAGGGGGGTCTGCCTTGACGTTGGCAGGCAGGCATTCCCTCCAGTGGCCATTGGAGTAACTAAATGACCTCCATTTGTCTAAATATACATAGGGATTAAGGAGAGAGCGCAGGTAACTTTCTTATATTGGGGCTGATGTGTACTGTAGTCATTGCTGCTGGCCCAGTAGTGATGGGAGTGAGCGCAGAACTTTTTGTATAGATAACGAGTATGTTGCACTAAAATATTATTGTTACTTTGTGCACAATAAAGCATTTAGCGGTTCACGTTATATTAAGGTCTTAAAGACACAGCGCACCTTTTTTCATCTGGTTTTGTTTCTATTTTAAGCGAGTTTTTATTGGATTGACACTTTAAAGGTGCAGCTACAGGTTTCTCAGTATAGATCACCTTATACAAAAATTGGAAGCAACATTTTTTACTTGTTAATTTTCATTTGTGACAGGCAGAGAGACACTCAGTGAGAGAGACAGGCAGAGATTGTGACATACAGAGAGACGTGCAGTGTGAGAGACAGGCAGAGAGACACGCAATGAGAGAGACAGGCAGAGAGACGTGCTGTGTAAGAGATAGGCAGAGATTATGACATACAGAGAGACATGCAGTGTGAGAGACAGGCAGAGATGGTAACATACAGAGAGACATGCAGTGTGAGAGACAGGCAGAGATGGTGACAGGCAGAGAGACATGCAGTGTGAGAGACAGGCAGAGATGGAGACATACAGAGAGACACTCAGTGTGAGAGACAGGGAGGGATGGTGACATACAGAGAGACACTCAGTGTGAGAGACAGGCAGAGATGGTGACATACAGAGAGACACGCAGTGTGAGAGACAGGCAGAGATGGTGACATACAGAGAGACATGCAGTGTGAGAGACAGGCAGAGATGGTGACATGCAGAGAGACACTCAGTGTGAGAGACAGGCAGAGATGGTGACATACAGAGAGACATGCAGTGTGAGAGACAGGCAGAGATGGTGACATACAGAGAGACATGCAGTGTGAGAGACAGGCAGAGATGGTGACATACAGAGAGACATGCAGTGTGAGAGACAGGCAGAGATGGTGACATGCAGAGAGACACTCAGTGTGAGAGACAGGCAGAGATGGTGACATACGGAGAGACATGCAGTGTGAGAGACAAGCAGAGATGGTGACATGCAGAGAGACATGCAGTGTAAGACAGGCAGAGATGGTGACATACAGAGAGACATGCAGTGTGAGAGACAGGCAGAGATGGTAACATACAGAGAGACATGCAGTGTAAGAGACAGGCAGAGATGGTGACATACAGAGAGACATGCAGTGTGAGAGACAGGCAGAGATGGTGACATGCAGAGAGACACGCAGTGTAAGAGACAGGCAGAGATGGTAACATACAGAGAGACATGAAGTGTAAGACAGGCAGAGATGGTGACATACAGAGAGACACGCAGTGTGAGAGACAGGCAGAGATGGTGACATGCAGAGAGACACGCAGTGTGAGAGACAGGCAAAGATGGTAACATACAGAGAGACATGCAGTGTAAGACAGGCAGAGATGGTGACATACAGAGAGACACGCAGTGTGAGAGACAGGCAGAGATGGTGACATAAAGAGAGACATGAAGTGTCAGAGACAGAAAGAGATGGTAACATACAGAGAGACATGCAGTGTAAGAGACAGGCAGAGATGGTAACATACAGAGAGACGTGCAGTGTGAGACACAGGCAGAGAGACACACAGTGTTAGACAGGCAGAGATGGTGACATATAGAGAGACGCAGTGTGAGAGACAGGAAGAGATGGTGACATACAAAGAGACATGCCGTGCGAGAGACAGGCAGAGATGGTGACATACAGAGAGACATGCAGTGTAAGAGACAAGCAGAGATGGGGTTGATGGGGTTGAAGGTCTGTGGTTAAGGAAAGGGCAGCTGCACAGGGCTATATTTATCACAGTTTAAGGTCAAGGAGCACTGAGCCCCCTCCTTCACCCTCATTCCTGAGCAATGCTAAAGGACAGAGGTAACAGGAGACTGAGCTGACCTCTGCCAAGGGTAAACAGGGGACAGGAGGCTGCGAGTCAATGGACACTCAGCTTGAGATCTGGATCAGCTATACAGACAGACAGACTGAAAGATGGACAGACAAATAAACAGGCTGAAAGATGGACAGACAGAGACACATACATACAAACAGACTGAAAGATGGACAGACAGAGATACATACAGACAAACAGACTGAAAGATGGACAAACATTGATAAAAAGAAACAGACTGAAAGATGGACAGAGAAAAACAGAGACAAACAGACTGAAAGATGGCCAGACAGACAAACAGACTGAAAGATGGACAGACAGAAAAACAGTTAATGATGTACAGACAGATACACAGACATTGAGATGGACAGACAGAGAAAGAAAGACACACAGACAGATGAACAGACAGACATATTGTTACAGATACATAGACACAGACAGACATAGATATAGACAGATAGAAAGACAGAGACTGAGCGATAGAGACAGAAAGGCAGATGAGAAATCATAGACAGGCAGGCACAGAGAGAGTAAAAGATTCACACGGATGGATGACAGAGATAAACACATAGAGACAGACAGAATTTGATTCCCATTCCGGCATAATGTGAACCACAAGACAAGCATCGTTATATAATACCAACATGTTCTGCAGCGCTGTACAATGAAAATATAAAACAAACAAGGTGAACAGGAGATAGAGGCGGTAAGGGCCCATGTCAGGAGCTGACATGAGCCCCCTGGTTCCAGGACAAGTATAAACCTTCAAAAAGAGATGTTAACACCCGGCAGTCAGCATAGGAAATCCGTCAAATATTTAATATCAATTTTAAAAAAAACAGACAATCACTTGAAAAAGCTTAATACAAGTCATTGGTGATTTGCAATATTTTATTCAATGGTCTCCTATAAAGGACTAGAGACCAGGGGAAATTCTTAAAGGACAGAGCATTCAATACAGTCCACGAGATGCCCCGCACGTGAGAGAAATAGTGATTCTGGAGTCAGAGGACAAGATAAGGTCATTGGCAAAATGAAGGTCACATGTATGGGAGCCCAGAGTGTCCCTTTAATAATATAAACTCACCCAGTTAGTTATAAACCCTCCCAGTATAACTAACTGTAACCTAACCTACACAGTGCATCTAACATGTGTGTGGGAGCCTGGAGTGTCCCTTTAATATTATAAACCCACCCAGTATAACTGTAACCTAACCTACACCGTGCATCTAACGTGTGCGGGAGCCTGGAGTATTCCTTTAATAATATAAACCCACCCAGTATAACTAACTGTAACCTAATCTACACAGTGCATCTAACGTGTGTGGGAGCCTGGAGTGTCCCTTTAATAATATAAACCCTCCCGGTATAACTAACTGTAACCTAGCCTACACCGTGCATCTAACGTGTGTGGGAGCCTGGAGTGTCCCTTTAATAATATAAACCCACCCAGTATAACTAACTGTAACCTAACCTACACAGTGCACCTAATGTGTGTGGGAGCCTGGAGTGTCCCTTTAATAATATAAACCCACCCAGTATAACTAACTGTAACCTAACCTACACAGTGCACCTAACGTATGTGGGAGCCTGGAGTGTCCCTTTAATAATATAAACCCACCCAGTATAACTAACTGTAACCTAACCTACACAGTGCATCTAACGTGTGTGGGAGCCTGGAGTGTCCCTTTAATAATATAAACCCACCCAGTATAACTAACTGTAACCTAACCTACACAGTGCATCTAACGTGTGTGGGAGCCTGGAGTGTCCCTTTAATAATATAAACCCACCCAGTATAACTAACTGTAACCTAACCTACACAGTGCACCTAACGTGTGTGGGAGCCTGGAGTGTCCCTTTAATAATATAAACCCACCCAGTATAAATAACTGTAACCTAACCTACACAGTGCATCTAACGTGTGTGGGAGCCTGGAGTGTCCCTTTAATAATATTAACCCACCCAGTATAACTAACTATAACCTAACCTACACAGTGCATCTAACGTGTGTGGGAGCCTGGAGTGTCCCTTTAATAATATAAACCCACCCAGTATAACTAACTGTAACCTAACCTACACAGTGCACCTAATGTGTGGGAGCCTGGAGTGTCCCTTTAATAATATAAACCCACCCAGTATAACTAACTGTAACCTAACCTACACAGTGCACCTAACGTGTGTGGGAGCCTGGAGTGTCCCTTTAATAATATAAACCCACCCAGTATAACTAACTGTAATCTAACCTACACAGTGCATCTAACGTGTGTGGGAGCCTGGAGTGTCCCTTTAATAATATTAACCCACCCGGTATAACTAACTGTAACCTAACCTACACAGTGCATCTAATGTGTGTGGGAGCCTGGAGTGTCCCTTTAATAATATAAACCCACCCAGTATAACTAACTGTAACCTAACCTACACAGTGCATCTAACGTGTGTGGGAGCCTGGAGTGTCCCTTTAATAATATAAACCCACCCAGTATAACTAACTGTAACCTAACCTACACAGTGCACCTAATGTGTGTGGGAGCCTGGAGTGTCCCTTTAATAATATTAACCCACCCGGGATATTTTGGTGAAAGATAGAATAATGTTAAGGAAGTTTATGAGGTCTCAGCCTAGGTCAGGGCTTTCCAATTAATTTTTCCTGTGGAACTATTTGACATAGTGTATCAACATCGTGGATCCTCCACCCCCCTCCCCCCAAAAATCTATTTTGCGCCGTTGCATAAACCTTTTTTTGTATGTGCTGGTGTGTGTCTGTGTATCAAGGTGTCGGTATCTGTGTTTGTATGTACCAGTGTGTGTATCTCTGTGTGTCTGTGTATGTATCTGACACACAGATACACACACACAATGGCACGTTTAGGCATACAGATACATACGCATTGACACACACCCTAACACACAGTTTGTATCGAGGTGTGTGTATCTGTGTGTATCTGTGTTTGTATATGCCGGTATATGTCTGTTTGTCAAGGTATGTGTATCTGTGTGTCAGTGTGTGTGTATCTGACACACAGCTACACACACACTGGGACATAGTGGCACACAGATACACACACCTTGTCACAGATACATACACCTTGACACAAAGTGTGTGTGTGTGTTTGTGTCTGTGTGTCAAGGTGTGTGTATCTGTGTTTGTATGTGCCGGTGTGTGTAAAAGTGTGTGTATGTGTGTTTGTATGTGTATCTGTGTGTGTATGTATCTGACACAGAGATAGAAACATAGAAACATAGAATGTGACAGCAGATAAGAACCATTCGGCCCATCTAGTCTGCTCAATTTTTAAAAATACTTTCATTAGTCCCTGGCCTTATCTTATAGTTAGGATAGCCTTATGCCTATCCCACGTATGCTTAAACTCTTTACTGTGTAGCAGACACATTCTACCACTTCAGCTGGAAGGCTATTCCATGCATCCACTACCCTCTCAGTAAAGTAATACTTCCATATATTTTTTTAAACCCTTTGCCCCTCTAATTTAAGACTATGTCCTCTTATTGTGGTAGTTTTTCTTCTTTTAAATGTAGTCTCCTCCTTTACTGTGATGATTCCCTTTATGTATTTAAATGTTTCTATCATATCCCCTGTCTCGTCTTTCCTGTAGGTGGGGTGATAATATTGGGGTCTCTGTGTGATAGTACATAGTGTAGGTGCAGGGCCGGTGCAAGGATTTTTGCCGCCCTAGGCAAAAGAAAAATTTTCAGTGTGTGTTTACATTAAAAAGCCTGCAGGGACCGGCTATAGACACCAGAACAACTTTATTAAGCTGCAGTGGTTCTGGGGACTATAGTGTCCATTTAATGTGGGGTAAATTAGAGATTAGTGTCACTAATAATATATTAGATTGCCTACTTACAACCAGATGAGGATGGTGATGGGCTCTGGCTGCAGTCTTGCTCCACTGGTCTGGTGTAGAACAGGATCTCTGGAGGCTGTTTGTAACTGTGGTCACAAAAATCAATGTTCTGGGAGAACGGGAAGCAGCTCCATTTTTTGGGGCCTCTTACAAGGTCTGGGCCCCAGGGCCTGACGGTGAGTATGCCCATAAAGCCCACCCATACGTCCACCTACATGTTCCACCCATGAGTTCGCTCACAGGGAGTAGAGTGTGTAGGGGATGTGTTATGTGTTACTGTAGAGGATCTAATGTGTGTGTGCTTATGGAATGTAGTGTATAGGGATACCAGTTTGTGTAGGTGATGCAGTGTGTTTGTGTGTAGTGGAAGCAGTGTGTTTTTGTGTAAGGGATAGAAAGCAGTGAGTGTTTGTGTATAAGGGATGTATTGTGTGTTTTTTTGTTGTGTGTAAGGGATGCATTGTGTGAATCTGTGTTTGTATGCATAAGGGATGCAAAGTGTGTTTGTGTATGTAAGGGATGCAGTGTGTGTGTCTGTAAGGGGTGCGTTGAGTGTGTGTAAGAGATGCATTGTGTTTCTGTGTGTGTGTGTGTAAGAGAAGCAGTGTGTGTTTGCATGTTTGTGTAAGAGATGCATTGTGCGTTTCTGTGTATATGTGCAAAGGATGTATTGTCTTTATGTGTGAGGGTTGCATTATTTGTTTCTCTGTGTGTATAGGGATGCATTGTGTGTGTGTGTGTGTGTGCGTGGGGTGTGAAAGAGCTACCTGTCCTGCCCCCTGTCCTATAGAGCTCTCCCTTCCATCCCTTAGAGATATCCCCTGCCCCTTAGTGGTCTCTCCTCTCCTCTCCTATCCTCTCCCCCCTACCTCCCTTAGTGGTCTCCTTTTATCCCCGACTTTCCATTAGTGGTCTCTCGTCT